ATGCACTCCCATCCCACAGCAGACCTGCTGACCTCTGCTCTCCCCCTGGTCGCACCCAGTCCCGCCTGTCCAGGCAGTCTGCCCATGTACACTATACATCTCTTGGGCTGCTGTATAAAGCTCTACTGGCTGCTGCAGCCAAGAGAGCAGCGCATACGAGACTTGCATCTGCTTCGCTCCACTGTCACAACCCTGTGCTGCCAATGAATGTGTGCGCTGATTCTACACAGAGTCTGGCCACTCCATGACTCCGTGCAGCTATTTACAGTTCTGATGGTAGTCTACCTGCTTGCAACTAAGATAACCAAAGCTGCTCAATTGAAATAATTTGGTCACAAAATTAAATGGAGCTGATGACAGAAAGGACACGAGGATGTGAGGAAATCCAAGATCGCAGTATTTGGACCGCAGACAGGGCAAGAAAACACACTTAAGGACATTGCTGTAATGAGCAGCGTTTGTAAGAAGATCCTGATCAAACCAAACTATAGAGCAGTCTTGAGCCAATACAGGAAGCGGGTGCAGGGTTGTGCTCTGCTGCGGGCAGCACATGAACATGTCATGAATGTTAAGCATTTATCATCCTAATATATTACCAAATAAAATGAGCCATGAGCATGTTACATGTTATTTTTCAAAGGACTAGTTTGATATTTACGATTTTGGCAATTCACTGAACACGTCACACCATGCCCTCAATCAGCTCCAAATGGGCTGCCTCGTTGAAGTGAGCTATTCTGCTCTACTCCACCAGATATTCAGGCATGGCATACCTCTTGTTTAGAGCTCCATGCCCCACACTTACGCTAGTGCTAAGATCGGGGACAAGATGGGGCCCATAATGTTTTGTTGTTTACAGAGGACTATTGATTTAATTACTCTCCACCCACACAACAACTGCAGCCACTCATATTGTGATCTTGGTACGATTGTGATAAATCTCGCAACTCGATGGTAGTGGTTGCAGCAGAGGAAGTGTATAATGAGTTAGATTTGCTCGACAATGTTAAATTTATAGCTCTAAAGACCTTGTGCATTGTGAAAAAGCAGCATAAATCCAGTGGTGGCTTCTGGGACACAGCACATTAAATCTGAAAAGTGCAGACAGGAAAAAGACTACATATCTTCTGCTAAAGCTGACACTGTATGATCCCACCTGGCGCAAAAGGAGCACCCATGGGGGAAAACAAAAATGTCACTGTCTTTGATGCACTGCCATGACCTGACCTTAACTTGACCACTTATTGATTGAAAGTCTGTTGAGTGCTGACTTTATGCAGAATGGGAAACAGGGGCTTAATGCAGAGAAAGGTGTTGGTTTTAGCCTTTTGCATCACTGTCTGTAGAAACTCTGCTGACACAGGTCAATGAGAAGCACAGGGGAGAAGACATATTAGTCAGGGAATGTGGGTCTTTTATTGTGCCCTTGGTAGTTCAATAAGAGCCATAATAAGTGGTTGAATACATGTTTTGACATATGTTTTATATTGGTAATTTTTATATTGATAATTTACTCTTTTTGCTGATCCCAGATAAAAAAAAAATAGAATAATGAAATAAAATCTGAGTCGAATATTCAATAAATTTAAATGAAACTATTAAAGGGCCCATATTACACTATTTTCTGATTGATGTTATAATGTTGTTTCCTCATCAAAAACATACCTGGAGTTGTGTTTTGTTTCATTTTAGGTATGTTTTTTGATGAGGTAACAACATTATAACATGGCTTAACGCTCACAGGAATCCACTTTGTGTAAACGACCTTTAAATGTGATTAATACTGATATTGCTAATACAATAAGGCAATTTATAATTTGCTCATATTTTTTGCTAATTTTTTTTTAATTTTAATTCCACTAGGTCCATGATTACCTCCGAAGCAAGTTGTGTTCACTTTACGAGAACGACTGCATCTTTGACAAGTTTGAGTGCGCCTGGAATGGTACAGACAGGTACATCAATGATCAAGTGTGTATCGCTGTATGATTGATAAACACCAACTATTCTAAATGTTGCATTGTGGTATTGTCCAACAGAATAATAGGATAATAAATGATACCACAAATCAATGTCTAAAAATGTGTGTCAGATGAGAGTGTAGGAGGAAAAACCTGCACACTGCCAAATCTACAAAGAAAATATTTATTTAAAGATTTATTTCAGCACAGTAAAATGTGTTGCGTTGTGTCATTATGAAATATTACTGACTGTCTAGCATTTATTCAAATACAGGTGTCTTTGTTGCTAAAAAAAAAAAGTACCTTGAAACACATGCATTGTTACTGTGAGTGGGGTTGCCTCTTCACAAATCTGACCTGTAACTTGGCCTGGCAGTGTCACCTGCTTATCTCTATGTTTACACCATACTATAATAATTGAAGCAAAAACATCTCGATGCAGACAACCAGGTGGCAGACTCTCTACTAGACAAGTTACATTGTGTTAAAAGCTATATAACCTTAATAAAATTCAAATGTGTATATTATATTACTATAATGTTGTATCCTCATCAGAAATATAGCTGGAGTGGACTACATATTTAAGCAGAGTTTTTCTCTCAAACAGAAAACACTCCACCTTGCAATGTCATGTGGTAACAAATGAAGTGTTCCACTGTGTTTTTAAACTCCATACACATTTACTAGAATCATTTGGATGATTTCAGCCCTGGATTTGCCTATCTCTACTGAACAAAGGGTAAATGTAGCTGTTAATTGAAAACTAGCGACATCACAAGGTGTATTCCACCTTGTGATGTCGCTAGCATTTTCATCTTTGGAGATGTAGACAGACTAATGATAAAGGATTACTCAAGCATGTATGGATGAAACATAACACATCTCCCATGTTTTTGATGAGATAATAACATTATAACATTGCTTAAAGCTCAGAAGAACACGTTTTGCGTAATATATGACCTTTAAAACACTCAAAAAGTTGAGTTGGAAATGGATGGTTTACATTATTAATACAAATTCTTCAGCCTTGTCTAATGATTTTTCTTATGGCGTTCTTTCAGTGTGATCATGACAGGAGCCTACAATAACTTCTTTCGTATGTTCGACCGAAATACCAAACGTGATGTGACTCTAGAAGCATCAAGAGAAAGCAGTAAACCCAGAGCTGTCTTGAAACCTCGGAGAGTTTGTGCGGCTGGAGGGAAGAGACGGAAAGACGACATCAGTGTGGACAGTCTGGACTTCACCAAAAAGATCCTACACACCGCCTGGCACCCAAACGAAAACATCATTGCTATCGCTGCCACCAACAACCTGTACATATTTCAGGACAAACTCAACTCGGAGATGCATTGATGGAGCAGTTTGAGCTGTTTTGAGCTGGAACAAGTTTACACACAACTACTATGCCACTATGCGAAACATGCAGACACCCATGAATATGCCTCCAGAGCTACAGAGGCTGACAGATCTAGGTCTACACCCCCCACCCCCATGTCCTCCCTGGGCTCCAGAACTGAACGAGCGGACTAGAAGGGAACGGGCTGGATTATGCAATTGATTGTGGATTAGTAAAAATGTCTAAATTGAGGATTTCTTGATAGTTAACCTCTGGATTGTGCTTGATGTTTGATTTTTTGGGCTACTTCAGACATTTTACATTTTTGGGTATGCCTTTTTTTTTTTTTTTTTGAAATGTCCATGTCCTATCTGCGTATTCCCCTCTTTGGTTTGTATGATCCTGTTTTACCAGCAGCATGGATAAAAAAATAGGGCATTTATTTAATGTAAATGGCTGTCTGATTTCTTACAGCTACCTAATTTCTTATGCTTCTTACTGAATGATGTACATGATGGTAAATATGAAGACCGTGATAATGTGTGATGTGAAATGAGTCGGACCCTTTCTGTTTAAACCCAAGTGCACCTAGACAACAGTCTCTCCATGATTCAGGAGTCAAACGTACAGCTGAGCTGAGGTCAGTGAGTTTATTGATTTAACAGAAGCAGATTTGACAAATGATCTGAAGTGAGGACACACAAACTGCTGCACCCACTGCTTTAGCCAGTGTTTCACAGGCCTTCATCTGCTCCTCGTGTACTTTCTGGTCTGCCTTCTGTACGGTCGTCAATACTCGAAGTCAATCAAGCAAAAAACAAATGATAACCTACATAATGTCAACAATCAAGCAAACATATGCTGCATGTTAAACAGATTTAGCCTACTGCTGTTTATAAATTGACTGACTTGGCTGCCTTCTAACCTATTTAGACCCAGCTGTACAAAGGCTTCTTGGGCCTGGAGCCCTATGCAGCACTATAGAGGACTGAGCCCATACTTTCTTTGTGTCTCTGACACAGACGCATGTTTACCAGTGTCGGCTCATACACTTGTACATTTGAATGATCAGTTTCTAATCTGAAACTGAGAACCAATGAATATGGTGAATGTTTCTGATTAATGTAATCTAAAAACAAAATAATAATGGGCTAAATAGTGTCTGTATAATAAACAATTTCTGTACATTTGATTTGATGATTTTTGTGACCAAAACATTGATCCACAACTATAACTTCCATCACTGATGATTGTTTTCAGAGCTTCACTACAGAATGTTTATTTTTAGAAAGTTATTTTAATGTTAGTCTGAAATTTGGACATCTGTCATTTTATTGTCCATACCCTCAAGTGTCACATATTTTTGTTAATGAATGTTGACTTAATTGTCAAATGGGCAATTATAAATAATGTTAATATGTTTTTCTGAATAAATATTTCAATGAAATAGCCATCTGTGATATTTATTGCTGTGTAATTACCAAAGACTGTATTAAATTGATACACAGGTATATTTTAAAGGGATCTTTCGGTGTAGTCAGCTCTATGACCTGACACTCCACCTAGTGCCAGCCTGGACACATTACAGGTATGTCGTACTGCTGCACAATATTGTTGTTCACTCTGCTACTTTTTTTTAAAATCTTAAATCTTAAATATTTGGTTAATGTAAATGCAGGCAGAAAATAAAACAAGTCAAACAGTTTTACCATATTTATAACCACTGATAGTACAGCTACAAGCTAATGCCATGTTAAACATAACACCTAAGAAGGAAAACTATTATATTACAGTCCTGCACAGCAGGAAACATTGGTCAAAAGAAATAAATGGACTGAATGTTATGACACAAAATCGTCCTTTACTTGGACATAAATAATAAAGTGTATTGTGATTTAGTATACTCTGTAAAAGGCACTTAAAATATTTTCCCATAACAATCGGACAGTTAACTGCATCTCACGGTTACAATTTTGAATGAAGCACTATAAATTACTGTCAGTATTAATACATCCTTCCTTCTATACATATCAAAATATTGATTTAGTATCATAAACTTCAATTAATAAACTAAGTTCTCAATGGTTATATAATTATTACATAAAATAGAATATATAGTATACTGAGGACAAAGGCTGGACTGATGGTTGAAAATGGCTCAGAGGCAAAGACTGGTGATCACATCTGTTAGCTTGCCCCAGGCAGTAGTGGCTATTGAAATAGTTCTCCACCAGTGTCCTGAATTATTTACTGTTTTGCGCTATCAAGCTCTTTCAGACTTCTCAAGCTTGTAAAGTGCAAAATATACCTCCATTATTACTGTTATTAGTAGTGATTCACATCTAGTCAGATGTATTATCTCTGACCACAATTTCTGTCCCAGTTTCTGAGTCTGGATGTTCTAACTGTGCCGTGAGGAAGGGACTAAAAAAGAAGTCAAACCCAAACTGTAATGCATTTTGAACTGTGCGTCTCCAGTCGTGTTCGATCTTGTATTGTTTCCTGGTGGGCACCCGGGCATCTCCACAGGACAGGCAGTGAATCGCTTTCAGTTCAAACACAGGCCACTTAGAGCCTAGACGTCCTTCTAGGATGGTACTAAACTCCACAAAACTGCCCCCATTCAAATGTAAAAGCACAGATTTGAACTCATTACTCGCTCTTAAAACAATATCTTTAGTTGAGTCTTCATCTTCTACTATTGTGCCATTTTTAGTCTTTCTCTCTTGAGGCATGCCCAACGTGACTTCAAATTTGTATCGGTCAAAGCGTTTGACATGGCATTCGTTTTTAGCTAGTCTTTTAAGTCTGCATAAAGGATTTTCTGGAGTGGGGGCATTTGCAGGTTGAGGCCCATCAGATGAATCTTTCACTCCATCACATTTAGGGTACGGTTCACCATAGAGACATCGCATCCAGTTCCCCACAACAACAGGAAGAAGATTAATAACTGACTCGGGTCCGTTCTCTATGTCAGTTACCCGCACGTATTTGAAGCGCCCTGTCCAGGTGACGCGGTGTCCTTCAAGATGAGAACAGAGGATTTGAGTCTGAGCCATGTTAGACTCCTTCCAAGCCAAAGGACCACAAAGATTGCTATATTCGGGCCATGTTAGTGTTGAATTATAAACTTTCATACCATCTGATCTATATACATACATCCAACAGAATAACACCACTGCACTGATCCAAACCAAAATGAGCTTGACGATGCTGCTTCTGGACAATGAACGTAAAACTTTGATAGGATTCAAGCTAAAACGCGTCCACAGTCGCAGCACAACGGGTACAAAACAGATGACAAGGGTAACCACCATTTTAGTAACTTCCAGTGCAAGGAACCACTGCCATAACTGGATCATGAGCATTGCAGCAAGGCCCAGTGTTAGAATAGGCAAGGCAAATAGGAACAGCAGGTAGCCAATACAAGTACGGATAAGTCCAATTGCAGAGGCATTATTGAGAAAAACCAAACACAACTCACACCAGGTGAAACAGACCAGATAAGGCACCAGGCAAAGATAAGTGCCTTTAAATCCTTTTACTTGTGCCATGCAAAAAAGTAAATAGATAAGATGTCCATACAGGAGACAAGGGACTCCTATGTTTAACGCCACAACTTCTCCAAGAGGCAATGAAAAGAAAGTCATCCCAAATATTTTGAGGATCCAGAAGGAGTCCGGGAGCAGGTGGGTGAGAGAGCAAATCCCAGACAGGACTTCAGTAAAAAGGGCTTTCCGGGCGAAGATTTGAGCGGAGGCATGGAGGCTGTGGAAAGCCGTAATGGTGAAGAAAAGGGCAACTGCAGCCATCTCTGAGCAGGGGACCCAGGACTTGTCCGCAACAGGGAAGGAAAATACCACAAAGATCACAGAGAGTAGAAAATATCTGAAACATAAATAAAGGGCAGATATAATGACAAAATTGTTATGTTGCATTTAAATAATACTATTATCTTTAAGTGCATTTGAGCCTAACAAAATATATATTAGACCATAAGTGATATATGTAATACAGCATTTTGACAAAGCTGTACAAACCTTTTGGTATACTGTAGATTAGTTAGAAAAAAAAAACTTTCTTGCCATGTTTTTGGTTATTGTCTGGGATTTGGAGAGGAATAATTTGTATGTAATATAGATTTTTATTTAAGTAAAATGGTATATTTCCTTACAAATAAGGTTCCAAATGTGTCCATCCAAAGTTTGTTTCAGCCTGGTCCAAGTCGAGACCAGGCTCAAAGTGTGCCAACAGATCGGTCAATGCGCGATAATTCTCCCAGGCTTTTGAATTCTGTTTGAAAAAATATTTATCATTTATCAAAGTATTTATTAATCTTACTAAATATCAAAGCTTTTGAAGTTACTATTGAAGTGGTACTAACCTGAAATACCCTTAGTGTGCAGATGACCATGGAAAAAAATGAAAGATAAAAGACCAGCAATGGAATACAAAATATAAAGAATTCTATAGTGAGGTTGGAGATGATGAAGAAGAAGATGAGAGCATTGACATGGTGCGTGGGGATGAGAGCACTAAGCCACTGCATGCCAGCCCGGGACGCCCAGTCGATCAGGTGCTCCTTTATCTCCAACAGAGCGTGAAGGGGGAACTTCAGCATCTGAGAGAAGCACAAGCAAGCACAAGTGAGTATATCATTAAACTGTATTTCATTGAAATTACTGTTTATTACTATTCCACTGATGCAACAACCTTAAACCCGCAGGTGTAACTTTTCTGAAGGAGGGTCCGTCAAATGCTTTTCTCCATGGAGACATTTATAATTTGTCTGGAAAGTTTTGTGGTATGGTATTAAACCTTTCTATCTTCAATGTTCATGGAAACCAAACCTGACCAAGTTACAGATTAGATCAGTGGAGAGGCAACCCTGCTCACAGTCAGTTTTTTTTTTAACTATAAAATAATCTGTAATTCAATAAATGTAAATTAGAGCCATTTAATGTCGTACTGTGGCAGAAACAAGCAGGACCCCCAACCAGAAAGTTACATAGTGCACCTTTAAAGCAGGATAATCCCAGTAAACCCTTTTCTATGTGTACCATATTATGGCCAACAATAAATATATATCAAGTATCTAATATCTACAATGTCTATAATGTGCTGATGTTATCATTTAGACCTTACTACATAAAAGTGAGAAAATGCAAATAAAAGATAAATGAAAATATATTGTTTATCTATTGAACAGTATGTCATAGAATCCATTCAGCACACTGCTATGACTTTGTATGTCTTTGTATGTTATGTAGGACTTGACTGAGATTCTATTACCTTTTGAGGAAGAGGGAGCTCATCTGGATTTTTCACATGGACAACATCATCGTCGTCATCATCATCTCCAGCTGTGGCCATAACCCGAGATGGTGCTACCCCCTGAGCGTACTTTTTGGTCATCTCAACAAAGTCATCCAGGCCCACATGAGAACAGGCTGCAGAAAATCAAACATATTATTAGTATTATGTATAGTAGAATAATATTATCATCTTTATGAATGTGTATTGTATTCAGCTATGGGTTTATACTGTAGGTGCCATTTTGAGTACTTCTGACCATTCAAAAGGTATACTGTGTTTTAAATTTGTTAATTGCTATAAAAACTGTGCTTCTTTTTCATCACTCTGAAACCCGTGGATAGGGACAAGTGGAACAATATTACTAACAACTGTATATTTATCTAAAGGCAATTCCCAATGTCCATTCCCTTATACAGAACATAACAATACAACACAAAAGAGCAGTCACTGATAATTTACTAATTAAACAAGTCAGTTATAACTGATTGCTTGGGTTTTATCTGTACTGAACTTACACTCACTGGTGACCATAGTTTCCAGAACTCTCCTCTGTTTCTTGGCAGAGCTGTTTAGTGGACTCTGTGGCACTGGTTGACCTGTAGATGCACAAAAAGTAGCAGACATATATAATTAGCACACAAGAGTAACACACATAAACTTTGTCACTTATTTTCTTATACCTGGCTCAGTGTGGACGTGCTCCACATTTTCAAGCATCTCAGACACAGCCACAGACTTTTTTCTGTCTGGATTGAGCTTCCAGTACATGAGCAGAGCAGCTTTTCTCACACCTCTTTCAAAACGCGACTCTGTACTCAACTTCTTCACCTCTTCAAAATTCTCTAAAGTAATGCCTACAAAACAAATTTTTATGAATGTTATGCTTAATCACTTAAAGAAGGCATGTTATACTTGAATGGCTTAATTAATGAAACCAGTTAATTGACTTCCTGTTCAAAACCTGCCTCTACATAGTGAAATTGCAAACAAGCAGATTTATATTGATGAACTTATGTATTACGGATATTTTTGAACATTTTTGAACATCATGTATGACCCAGAGTTACCACACACAGTGACTTAAAACTTTGAGTAAAGACATACACAATTATAATATGGTTAAAACTTCATAAATATGATTAAAACTTTTAAAAGGTCCTATATTACAGAATAAGGATTATTGTGATCTTTAAGCCATGTTATGTTAATATGTTACCTCCTCAAAAAAAAAATAAAAAATAAAAATACCAGGAATTGCGTTTTGTTTCAGTCACACATGTTTGAGTAATGAAGCAGTCATTTTACAGTTAACAAAGTTAACAGCTCCCTTTTGCCTTTTTTTCAGTAGAGATCGGCAAGTCCAGGGCTGAAATTATCCAAATGATTCTAGTGAAAGAATTCAGCCTAAATATGCAGGATTTGTGTGTTAAAAGTGTGAATGAAACAAAGCACAACTCCAGGTATGATTCTGATTAGGAAACAACATTATAACAAAGATCAGAAAATAACATATGTTCCCTTTAAAGCAAAAGTGTATTGTTGGGACATTTACCTTTCCTTGCAGCCAAACATTGCTGTAGTAGTTTGACAGCATCTTTGCGCCCCTGTTTGGCCGCCTGAATCAGCCAAGTCACTGCTGTACAGTTATTGAGCTCCTCGTCTCTCTCCTCTCCTAGTGCCAGGAAGTATCTGCCCATCTGGACACAAATACATCACACAATTAGCATTCAGGACATTACTATGACTTGGGTGACTTATGAGCTCCTAAGAATAGCTCTCCATATGCTACATTATGTAAAAATCATACTAACCTTCATCTGGGCTTTGGCATCTCCTGACTTTGCTCTCTCCTCCAAAACCTCAAAACTAAATTCCTCTTCTTGGTCTTCTGAAAAATAAATAAATAAAAAATAGGCATTGGGCTATTTGCAAAGGAATATGTACTCAGTATTTTGCATGAATCAGACTCACACCCATGCTTAAGTCACCTGCAAGAATGTACAGTTATCTATTGATACTTTGCAGCTGATGGCGTCAACATTCCCTGGGAGTGTGAGGCTAACTGTAGGCTCTGCTTGGTTTGAGGCACTGTTAAACTGAAATCTGAGCTTTGTTTGAACACAATCTGACCAGAAAGAGCTAATTTAGTCACAGTAAGCTAGCATTAGCCAAGAAATTTTTTTTCCAGTTAGTCACTCTCACCTTTTTGTTGAAAATCAAACAGGTAAACATGACCATGAACACAATGTATTATACTGATCTCATTTTTTTTTTCTTATAGTCTGAACATGACAGCAGTATAAAAGTGAGTGTGTTTAAAAAGACTATTCATGTTTGCACAGTTTGAATTTGTGGTGTTGTTGATACGATTTTAGTTTTAGTAATTATGCTATGATTAAAATGAATAGCCTAATGAACACATAACCAGAGCTACAATTCCTTTTTGTAAAGCTAGGTTATAGTCTATTTAGCCTCTGTGACCCATGGCAATCAATGTGTAGTGTAGATTCAGTATGCTGTACTGTACATTGATTCACAATGTGAACAAACACATGGCATTGAGCTAAATAGCTAAATAGAGCTGACTTGGCATGACACGATAAGGGAGACACAAGTTTTCTGTGGGTCAGCAAAATGGGAGAGGCTATTTTACATGACGTTTGAATGTGTGGAGTTACCATGGGAAAAAAAAAAAAATAGGAGTGGTAGCGTGCTGCACTAATAGACACATAAAAAGAACAGGAAATAAATTGTAATTCTTGCAAAGTTAACCAACATTTACCTGGCTCTGGTGTGAGAGGGGTTTGCGGCGGTGTGCTTGCTCCAGAGATGGGACTTCCAGGAGAGGCTGCGTTGAGCTGAGACCTACCCCCAACAGAGGCACTCCTGATGGGCTGCCGCAGAGGAGAGTCAGGTGGTGTGGAGAGGGAAGAAGAGCGTGACAGCTGGCCTGGAGATAACCGTGGAGAAGCAGTGGAGGTCGTAGGGGTTGCTGGTGGAGTTGGCATGTTGACTCTCGGTCTGGTTCGGTTTGAGGTAGTAGTTGAATTAGACACTGAAACGCCTGATCTGATAGCAGGGCCACTCGGGACTCCAGTTAGTGATGGGTCCATGACTAAAAGAAAATTGTATGATTTAGTTTAACATTATTTCTTTTCAGACATTCATTGCCTTTGCTTAACATATAGAGCAGATGACACTTAAAACAGACATGGAGGAAAAACAGAAAGTGTCAAATATTATTTTAACCCTTGTTACCATGACACTGAACATATGGTTACATGATGTACAGTTTATTTTAGTCAAGGGCTATGGAAAGCTATGGAAAGGTCTGGCTATATCTAGACAATGACATCCTTCATATGCCCTGAATGGGAAAAGTGGGTCCAGTTGCACAATGGGGAACCCCCGTTATAACAAGATGAGGCTCAAACAGGACACAGATAAAAAAAAAAAAAAAAAACGTAATCTAGAAACGTGGGTAGGCGACATGTTACAAACTTACCTGCAAATAAATATTGATTTCAAGCCTTGTGGAGTTTGCAACATATTAGCTACATCTGGACATCTGGTTTCTTGGTGTTTAGCACTGACCTTTGCAGACAGATGCCTTGATCTCGAACGATGGCGACAAACTTCAGATAAAAAATTTACTTTATAATGTCTCGAGCCATTTTTTCCTTTCGTTTTAGTTGCTGTAGGATGTATGCTTAGGGTGTCTCTGGGTGATCAAACTCCAAACAGACAATACACGGACACACGGGGTCAGCTACTTCCCTGAACGCACCCGCCCACCCTGCAATCCGAGACTCTGATTGGATCACGTAGAGTCTCAGAGTCCTGTGATTGGCCACCGTCTGAGCTGTACACTCTGTGACAGACATTAGTAGTCGCTTTCCAGCCTAGCGTCGTTAGTAAAACCTTCGGTCTGTTTAACGAAGACCATCCATGCATAGGCCTATTTAAGGTTACACTAATAAAGACAGATTTTTGGTTTAGCCTGAGTAGTTTTCTGATGACTATTTGTACAAACAGAGCGAGCTCGTTAGTTATATCTTCTTTTGATTTTATCTCCTGCAATGCACATGTAATGTCAATTTTGTACCACATGAGGGCATACCGGCATACTTGCATATTTCTGAAAGTCCAGTGAGTTGACTCAATCCATAACACTAATTCGTGAAGCATCCTGAATTACTTTTTAAATACTTGACAGGTAAGTACATTTATCCTGTGCATAATATATTACCTTTTATGACCATTTATCATATTAAGAAAAATAATGTATTTCAGAAATAGCCTAATTTTAATCGTCGGTGAGATAATATGTATAATATTATTTTTCTTTATTTATATTGGCAGCATGGCTTCCTAAAAGAAGGCTACAACTCAAATTCAGAGGAGGATGGAATAGAATAATTAAAAAGATAAGAAAATAAGTACCATCTGGATGGAAGCATTAAAGTTCAAATCTAGAGTTCAACTGAGTGTCATGGGAAAAGGAGAAAATGGGGGCGGTAATTACTTAAGTGCCGCTGCATAAAGTAGTTATGCAAATAATTCTAGATTAGTAGATTAACACAATCCAGTTGAGAGGATAAACAAGTTCCGCATACTCCCATTCTTTTGAGACACATGACTACAAATTAAATTTTGATCTGAATTAGGGAAAGCAGCTCAAGGTGGACTGTGTAATGTGGTTGCTTTTTTGGAGCAAATTTCTTTTCATTGGATAACCCAATCTGGTTAGGGAATCTGTCCAATCACATTTCAGTGAATTAGGTCTGAAAATACTACAACTTTATGTGTATGTTCTAACGTTTAAAATCGTCAGTGAATAATGTTTAGTTGTGGGAAGTGCTATAGGGGGCAGTCTTCAATGTGAAAAATACACGAAGAAGAGTTAGAACTGTAACCATAGCAACACAGGGCTGCACTGATGATGTGTTTTTGCCATCAGGAATTCAAGTCACTGGGTTTTGGCCTTTGAAGTTTCCCCTCTGCAAGAACAAAGATTTAATGCGCTGTCATCACAAGTAAAATCTCCACATTACATGCGTGTGTGTTGCTGCCAAAGATTAAGCCTTGACAAAGACTTGTATATACAGCCATGATAGTAACATTTGCTGTAGTTTCACAAAAGAGACATTTAGCGAGCCATCAAGTCATGTATTGATCTGTTACTATTTAGGTTTGTTGTCCATGGGGAACAGTGCACATTTAAAGGAGTGGCCACTTTATTTTATTAACAATCTAGAGTCAAACACTGTCAACATAATCTCTCAGTTTGCATGGATACAAATTAGTGGAATACTATAATAGTCTACCCATAATAAACGTGGACAGTATAATAGCTAATTATCCTGTGAAAAATTGGAAGGAATTGTGTGGAAAAATAGGCATCAGCATTTCCCCAAACCACAGGCAAACCCATGGATACTTCCTTGCTCAAATAACATTTACAAATCATGTTGGATTTTTTTCTTTAGACTGCATTGTATTTGTCATGTGTTTAATAAAATTTGGGCATCTTGGAGCCACTGTTGGGGTGAGTGAGTCATGGAGAGTCTTATTTCCTTCATATGAACACCTGACGTCATCTAAAGACCTTTTTGATGGAAAATTTAGGTCAGTTTGGTTTGAAGGCTGCTTTTACAATGTTATGTCTGTGAGGTTGGTGGGAATATCTGACTACTGTAGAGCTTCAACACAATAGTAATGCTGGGAGACATGAGTGTATATAGTTTATCCAGCCAGAAACTTACAAGTATATGAAGACTGCTATAATAATTAATTGTAGGGCACTATCCATGTTTAAGAAGTCATTTTGACATAACTCGAAGATGTCTCTCTTAGGTTACTTAGGACAACCTACTGATGTATCTGAGCCTACTATTTGCATAAAAAATTATAATCTACATGTATTGAGTTCAAGCCTGTCACAATAATTACTATCGACTTAATGTCCAATATACTGTATGAAAGCTGGAACAATATTTTTGAGAGGGTCATATTTATCGTGTGGACTTTTTCTTTGTACTAATAGGAAATTTTTGGTTATTTTTGGCTGTATGATTTGAACTGTAAAAGACTGAATTCATAACTTCTATGACTCATTACAGATACAAACTGCGTTGTTTACTAAGATACTAAGTTGTTACTAACTGTTTCATTCTGCTATTTGTTGATTGTATTGATATATTATTTTAAAGAACACTGTAGATTTAAAGTAGTTTTTGTGGTTTAAATCTGCTCTTGGATTATTGAGTGAGTGACATAAATTAGTTATAATATTATCGTTTGTCTATATTTACTTCAGCAATATAATAATAAAATTTGTTGTTGTGACATGCCTAGATGAGTTCAAATTGGTCAGAATCCAAGTTGATAGTGGACACTACAGGGTAACAGAATTCAATTGATGAGATGAAACTCATCCTCTTTCTCTGTATTTTCTTGTGTCTAGTCTTACCTTTAGCCTGCAGCAGTGGGTTACATTATGCAGCCATGCACAAAGGAGCTGAATGGCAGGCTGGCACTGTGGCGAGGGAGGCAAAGACAGGCAGCTGTGCGTAAGTAATGCTCCCCCCTGAATGTGGGTCACACTGTCACTAATTTCACACTGTCAGAATTTTCACCTATTTTTATAATTAACCAGTCATGCTATCTCACTGTCTGTCAATATGGTATCATCCTTTTGCCTACTGTAAGATATTACTTGTATATATTGAGCATTTTGAAAATTCTCTGGAGAAACGTGATCAGTTACACTATAAGCGTGATTTCATTTTTGATTTAAGCTTAATAAAATCAGTCAGCCATGATTATTCTGGTTCTGGTCTACCAAACAGAATAGATTCTAAAGACTGCACATCGGATTAAATATTATTTTATATAGGCTAGGCTAATTCATACTGTCCATTCTAGAGCCTAAACTCACCCAATAGCTGATTCGTTGGTTTTATTTGCCAATTAGCCTGATGAGTGTAACTGTCCTGCGTACTGACGCGCCAAAAAGCTGCGTGTCCACGCATTTTCCGTGCGCGGTGTCATTCTTGTCCACGCAGTCAGGTGTCGCACTTCTTACACGCTGCAGGCGACGCCCGCTGAGCATTTTCATGCACGTTCATTACGCACAGATACTGAAGTGGTTTCGTTTCTCGAGCCGTTTTTGTGAAGCGCATGGATGCAGTAGACGGAGTGGAGGGTGTAGGAAGGAAGGAATGACGTTACGCGGGCTGTAAAATGTGTGCGTGTGGGCGGGAGCGAAAATGTCAGCGTGCAGCGAGAGCCGAGAAGAAACCTGGATTCATACAAACCATTGATAACTGGACTAATTCTAGCTTTGGTACTCGTGTCAGCGGACAAAAACACTTCTATTTTATTTTAAAGTTTGTGGCCGTTTTTTATTGGCCTTTGGCCGTGCGTTTTCAAGTGAGTTAACGCCGCAGCCACTCCACCGAAGCCGTGCTTCCTTCCTTTCCTGGATGTGAGAGCAATTATCAGCATTTTTTGCATCAGTTGTGAGTTGAACATTCTGGACATCGAGGTAGGTTTTTTTGTCAAATCTGAGATGCACTTTATATGTTGCAGCGGATGCATGCACGAGTGAATGAGCGTGGGAATCAACTGTAGCCCACTTCATTATGCTGTAGCTATATCTGTATTAAACGAGCCTACAGCTGATTCTCACCAAAACAGTATGTGAACGAGCGATGCTGCAGCAGTGACTACTGATGTCACATTAGCACACATGGACAGCTGAAGAGGAAGTATCAGTCTTCACAGTAATATAACCCGTCATGAGATTAAACTCAGCGCTGTCCATTTGATATCATTATCATCAGGCTTTGCTTGGACCTCCAGTCCAAGGAAAGGAGGCCCACTTTGAACAAGATTTACTGCTGTCTGTAAATGTCTTTTGGTGCACACCGTTAGAAAAGACGTCTCAGCATCATTTCAGTGCACAGCCTATAACAGATACACCTCAGTGGTAACTCTCATGCAAGGACACAGGGCCACTGGCTACAGGATGCTGTTTGTTGCTCTGGGGTGTGGTTTGGCAAAAAGCATCCTCATTCTAAATGTTTCCTTTAGGGGCACATACTGTCCATTTAAGTCATTACGGACTGACCACTCTGCATTATGGTATCTTTACATCTTCATCAAACCACAGCTTTACCATCCATGTCTAATAAGCACCCTGCCTTATCTGCTCTGGGGCCTTGTAAATCTACCACATCAGACAGCCAACATGTGTTGCACAGGAACTTCATTTCCATCTATAAGACATGCTTTAACATAATTATAGAGCTAGGATACACTATATTTTACTACAATTCACTGTCAGCATCCAATTGTGCCTTTTTGCATATCCTGCCATTGGACCTAATTTTTAATCACAGAGTAGACAATTAAGCTGCTTTAAGGATAAGCACTAGTTGTACTTATGTTTACTCTGATGTTATGCAGCCACAATCCTCTTTAAGCTTATTTGAGGCAATAGCAAGAAAAATGCTAGGTATGAGAAGCTTAAAAACACTTGACTGCTATGACCAAAATGTTATGGATGTTAGTAACATAATACATGATGTAAAATATGTGGAAGTGTAAATGTAAGTCTAAGTAAATCTAAGTATCATTCTCAACAGCATCACATCCAAATAGGATCACGACCAGACCAGTTTAGATCAAAATTTAGGCCTAAACAAGGCTCAAACCAGGACCATAAATATACAACATTTTGTGCATTTTATTTGGCTTGACTAGTCATTGAAATCAGTGTCTTTGATT